GTTTCAGAAGGGGAGTGGGGGGTTTTCGAAGGCGGGAAGGCCGATTTAGAGCACAATGCGGTTCAATGCCGAGGAAATTAGCCACGGCGCTGTCGGTGACGCCCGTCAGCCCCACACCATGGAAAACAGAGACCGTATCTGTCCCCGTTGCCCGGCCATGGGAGCACGAGTATCCTTATCCACGTTACTCGCTCCAACTATCAATCGACTACTCTCCATTTACGCTAAAAACAACTCTATAAAATCCTAATTTAAAAAAAAAGATTTCGCCAATTTTTTAGATTTTTCACAAATTAAATAATTATTCCAATATTTCTCTTCTGTCGTTTAACAGATAAATAAATTTATTCGTAACTAGTAAAATGAAAATGAATCAGGTATACCGATAGTAGTAAATTCAAGAATGACCAATTATTTATAAATTGAAAATTACTGGAATTTTTTTACCGAACACTGGTACCACGATTATAAATTTATTTATGTCGATTGAAGAAGGGCAAAAAGAAAAAAGAAGCTTCTGATAACAAAACGAATTTTTTTCTTTCATCTCAACCACTCTCTATCTCTTTCTCTTTTTCTCAGAGAAAGGAGCAGGCTTTGAAGATTCCAGGCCAAAGAGTGCCAGAACGCGGGCTTCATCGAGTGTCTGAAGAGATCGCGAGGACAAGTTCACCTATGCTCTCGAAGATGAATGGATCCTATAGTTAATGGCGGGGAGTGGTGTATCGCAGGTAGTAGACATACGTGGAGGATGAATAGGCGAGGGTGAACGAGCATTTAGAGAAGAAGCCTCTGTGTTCCCTGCCCCCCGCCTCCTACCTTGCGGATCGCTTTGTTCGACTTGTCTTCGAGATCCAAGTTTTTCCATGGAAAACACGTGTCCTCGTTACCAGTGCAACCATAATTACTAGACTGACGGATGTTCATGCAAATGCACGTTTTTAGAGAAAATTGGTAATAACATGGGATCTGGATATAAATTTCTTTCAATCTTAAGAGGTAACCATATTTGAAAAAAAAGAAAAGGTTATAGCTTATTGCAATTTAAATTAGAATAAAAGTTTCATTGTTAATTACTAATTGCATGTACCATGTGTTCTTTACATATGTTGGTATACCTCTATGTATGTTCGTATATTATATACTTTCATATTTCAAATATTTCACAAGCGTCCACAATCTAACCAAA